AAGGACTTGATAAATACACCTCATACATAGGATTTGTTCAATAAATGTTACTATTTATTTTCAATGTATTATACACTTCAATATCCAGTCTGGCCTTGTAATCCCATGATCATGGGCTTTCAAATGTGAATTCAAGCTTGAAAAACTCTGGATAGGCTTGCTTTGCTGTGGCTTAGGGTACAAAGAGATTTTTTTTTTTTTTTGTTATCTCCAAACAGAATGGCAAAGGGAAATTTTTCCTCTCTCAGCTTCTCAAGACGGTACAATACTGTAACCCAGTACTAGAAGTGAGACCTCGTTGATTATTCACATAAGGAAAAATGTACTTATATATTTTTTAACTGCAGATGTCCGTTCTTGCCTTTAAATGATACTGACCTATTTGCTCTATTTGCAAAGCAATTTTATCATAACCTCAGAGAATTTCCTGACATCAACAAGAGTATGTTTAGACTATTTTACAAAGCTATTGCAAGCTCCTCAGTAGGGAGAAAAATAGTTTGCAGTGTTCTCTTTTCTAAAGAAGAAAAGTCATTGGTGTTCTGTAAAGCAGCAGGATAGTATTGTCGGAATTACTGTGCCTGGAAATATTTTCATAGCCATCATTTCAGGTTGGCTGACTCATAAGTATTGACACAGTGAGGAGGACTGCTGATGAGTGAACTCAAGCCTCCTCATCCTGTCTCTCGCCTTTGTCCTGTTGTTTATCATCAATTACTAAACCAATGTCCCCTTTGAGCACAGCTACCTGTTTATCTAGAAATTAATTTCAAATTTAATTTGGAGCCTTGAAATAATAACATTCTTAGAGAAATTCAAGAGAAAAAAAGTTCATTTCTTAATAATGCATGATCTTAGAATAATGTATTACAACCTTGCTGCTCAGAGTGCCGTCCACCCATCAGCAATGGGCATCACTCAGGAGATGCAGAATGTGAACCCCATCCTGACCTCTGATTCAGAATTTGCATTTTGACATTTGAAGATCTCAGAGTGATTCAAGGACACATGGCAGACTGAGAAACACTGACTTAAAGAAATGGGTAGGGTGGATTCTGAAAGTGGTTACTGTTCTGTGTCACCAAGATCAAGTAATTAGACATAACTACAGTATGTACCAGAATCCTCTGGAATCAAATATTAAAATAACAACTGAACAACAGTGGATATTCGGTAAACTATATTTGTTTTTCTTTTAGGTATGATTTACACAATTGGCTCATTTTAGGCTTTTGTGGGTTTTTGTTGTTGTTGTTGTTTTGGTTTTGTTTTTACTTTTTTCATTGTTAATTGCAATGCGTAGAAGACTGTTCACTATTTCATCCACCCATGCATGAAGGAAGAAAGGAAACAATGAATGCATGGTAGTTATCCATTACTGAGAGTGGCTACTTGGATTAGGACTCAATAGATACAAAGTCTTCCGGGAGTGACCACTTGGACCATTCATTGGTCTTTAGGTCAGGGACAGAGAGTTTTATGTTCAGAACTCTTAACTGATCATCAGAAGGTGCCTCCTTAATAAGAAGACATGGCTAGTTATTGGCATCTGAAATGCAAGAATTCAACCACTTGTTTGCAGGTAGTTAATACCATGCTTCCCCAATCTTCTGCTCAAAGAGAAGACCTGCTTAGTAATACCTGTGTTTTACTGGGTTTATAGTAACAGATGTTACTATGACAGATGTTAGTGGTTACTTTAAGACAATTTATGGGGGCTACTGTCTTTTTTTTTTTTTTTTTTTTATTTTGCCCCAACTGCCTTCTGTTTAGCTTTAGTCTAGAGAGAGAGAGAGACAGTAGGTATATGGCTTGGCAGGAACTAAGGGGGGGTTTGAAGGGTTTAATATAACAATAAATGGAAATCATAGTAGCTTTTTTTAAGATAACTGTTCAGAAAAATAACAGTATATAATCACCCTGACCTGCATAGTATATCCCATAATGCCAGAGGAAAAAATCCTTCTTAATTTAATCAATAATATGAATTCTTGAAAAGAAAAGTCTTGCTCTTAAGTATAATTTTTTTCTGCATCAGAATTATTCATCAGAGGAATACTGCTCAGAATTCACTGCTCAGAACCAACAATTGCTGATTGTATAGGTTCTTGACTATAAAAGCTCTCTTTTATTTTCTTAGTTTGGGAAAACATTCTATATTCTGAAGAACATGAATCAGAAAATACTCGATGTTAGGTTAGTCTTTAAAACAGATAATGCAATAAACCAATGTGGAATTATATTGCTCTTAGGGTAGCATAAGAAAAGAACAAAAAATAACGGAGCCTAGTTCTCAAACCCATTAACGTAATGTACAATTATCATGTCATTTTTCCCAGCCACGGAATGGGTGGATAATAATGGTAATGAATGAAAATATAAAAATGAAGTGTTTTAGTAATGGATTTTAGTCAGGATTTTCTTTAGAACTGTGTTTTTATTATATGCATTGTCCATTCTTTCTTTTTGTCAATTTTGATAAAAATTTCCTTTTAAATAACCTCAAAAGTTACTGCCTATCAAGGTACTGAAACTTGCTTAATGTAAAAATCAATGAATCTTATTTCCCATTGATATTTCAGCCCTACTAATATTATCTAAAATTCAAAGCATTTTGTAATGTTCTTAACCAGGGCTAACTATTGAGATTGTGTTGATAGCCCTGGTCTTGAAATTCCTTTTTGTTTCCATTTTTCTTGGATTTATTTCCAATCTCTTTGTCTCAATGCTTTGTCATAGATGAGAAAGATAAAACAGACCTTGCATCCTATTTGTAACTCTTTTTAAAACAAGGAACAGTAAGTAAATCAAGGTTTATTATTTATTATTATTTATTAAACCACTGTTTAGTGGTTTCTATTTTCCCATAATGTTTCTAATACCACTGTGGAAAGGCAATTGGTATTTTAGCACAATATATTTTTCAAAGGCTTATCTGTTGGGGGAATATTTTTTTAAAAATCAGGCACATATACGCATGGTGCAGTAAGTAAATAGGCTGTATTATTCCATCACTGGGAGCCCTTTCTAGTGGTACTGCAATTAAATACAATCCTTTTTGTCTGGGCTTTTATGAATTCAGTTGAACAACAGGTTATACAGAGATTTTTTTGTTGTGGTGGTGGTTATTTTGGTTAATAGCAACTTCCCTATTCAATTCAATTTCTCATTGTAACTCAAAAGTTGTCTGTAAATGCAGTCAACAGAATTATACATTTTTAAAAATTCTGAAAAGCATACTAACCTATACAGAAAATGAACCACTGGCAAAAGCACTGCTTGTCTTTTGAGCTGTCTGAATCTTCTCCCATTTTATAAATGATCTATGTGGGTACTTACAAGGTGCCAAAATAAGTGACTGAAAAGGAAAATATTATCATCATTTAACTACATGATACAGACTACTTTTTAATTCATTATCTAATTTATCCAGCTGCAATGGCATGGAGTAGGTATGATTTGTAAATGTGCACATGTTATTACATTCTCCGGTGTTTGTAAGTAGTGTGTTTCAGGTTGCTTTGCAGTAGTGAGATATATATGAACAGAATACTATAAATAAGTGAGTTTGTTAAAAAAAAATCTTTTTCGAGTCAGAAAATATTCACTGTGCATTCATTTTTAAAAATTATTTTTCTTTTTCCAATACAACCATCAGTGACATTAAATAAGGTACTCAAAGCAGGGAAAGTTAAAACTATAAAATATAGAAATTAATATACTTTTTCTTCTAATCGTATTCAATAAACTATAAACATATTTATTTTTTCCTTGACATAACCTAAAAAAAAGAAAGAATTCTTAAACCTTAGCATGTTAAAACAGCATACTAGTAATGAAACGAAATGACAGTTCAGTAGACTTTACAGCTATAGAGTGACAAAATCCCAGAGGGTTCTAGTCTTTAAATTATTCAGGCTGTCTAGATCTCTGCTGCCACAGTATTTTTTTTTTTTTCGCAAATGGAATAAAAATGGCATTTTGCTCCCGTAAATCTAGCTATTCCCTGGAAGATTGATTCTAGAAAAGCAACAGGCTTTTCCCCCTGCCTTACGAGAAGCAACAGTTAGAAACTCTAACAACTAGAAAACTGCTACCCCACAGTGGTTGGAAACAGCCAACAGAGAAGATGATAGTTATGATTTCCATCTACTGTGCAACAGCTTCAGAAAGGGAGAAGGAAAAAGGTAAATAAAAGAATGTTAACCTTTAGAAAGGACTGCTTTATGTTACTACCGCACCCTACCCCGTCCGCCGTCCCTTTAATCATCAGGCTTTTCTGACTAGGTTTCTAGGGTAAAGCAAAGCAATAACTCCGACCCATTCTATTTCAACGTAAATTTGCAAGAAGCTAGAAGACAAATTCATCAACCCCCACACGGGGAACAGTACAAGCCTCCCCAGAAGCTGACTTGAACCCTTTCGCATTAGTCAGCATGGACTGTTGTCTCCGCCTGTTGCTCCTGCCACAAGGCGTGTTCGAGCCCGGATAGAAGGAGGGCGCCCTGTGAAACGTGTCTGCGTGCGTGAGCGCCTGGCGGCGGGACCTGCGCTGGGTCTCCGGTTCAGCGACCACTAGGGTTAGGCGACTACGGACCACATTCGGGGGACCCCGATGCAGGCCGCGCGGCCGCCGGCAGATGGTGCCCTCCTCATCCGAACACCAAAGGGAACCCAGCTAAAGTACCGTCAGACTCCGCCCCACCCGATCCTCCCGCGCCACTGTCTCCGTCCTTCCCCAAACAGTGCCGAGCACGTTTCCTCTGGAACACTGCAGTAGCGTGTGTGTGTGTGTGTGTGTGTGTGTGTGCGTGTGTGTGTGTGTGTTTGTTGAAAATACAACCGAGGGGAACAGAGGGTGTGTGTCAGTGTGGGGAGCACGCGGAGTGGGACTCCCGGGCCGGGGCGAAGTGACCGCCAATGAAACGCAGAGGGCGAGGGGACCCGTCCATTTCACATCTGCGTAAGCCCGGCCGCGGGCCCGTCGGGAAGCCACTCACCATGTTCACTTCGGAGACCATGTCTATGCTGGCGACATCGATCCGCATCCCTACGTCCACAGGGGGCCCTGCGGGGAGGTGGGACACATTATGGACATATTCTTAGAGTGGGGACAGGATGGGGAGAGCCAGGGGGCTTCCCTGCGCTTACTACATTTTGAATGGGCTTCCTCCATCCCCCACCCCGCTTGCAGGGGACAGCCTGGGAAAACAGGTGTGGGCACACGCGTGATGCAGTGACTATGCAGAGGGTGTGTCGGGCGGGGGGAAGGTCGGCTCTGCCTGGGCTTTCATCCACCTGCGATGACGGTCCGGGGTGTGTGTGTGTGTGTGTGTGTGTGTGTCCAGGGCGTAGGGCGTAGCGCACACTTGCGGAAATGACATGCTTTTTTTTTTTTTTTTTTTTTTTTTGACATTTATCTTTGACAGGAAAGGAGAACTAGATATGTACGGGTTACAGGTTGAAAAAAGATGAAGCATTACCTCCAAAGTCCGGCCGCAAGCGAATGTCATATCCTTTGAGCAATCTGTCCACTGTCTCTTTCACGTATGACATGTTGCTGGGCTCATTGGCGCTGAAGGGAAGAAGTAGGGACCGAATTCAAAATGAACACAAACTGCGAGCAGACATAAATATAGACAAGCACACCTTACCCCCAAATAACAAGCTACATGATCCAGCAGGCATGTAAAAATAAAAAAAAATAAAGAAAGAAAGAAAGAAAAAAAAAGAGAGCGAGAGAGAGAGAGAGAGAGAGACGTTCAACAACGGCAGCTCACCTGTGTGCACAACAGACCATGGCAATCATCACAGGGAAAGAGAGAAGCCCCAAACTCTCTCGATTTTGTACTGTCCACATTACTAACTCTGATTAAAGAATTGTCTTTCCTGCGAAGATTCAAGGAATGCAACTTAGTCGGCGGCAGGGCAGTAATTCCCGAAAGGACCTGCGCATGCGCAGAGGGTGCTCACTACCAAAAGACACCTTGTGCCTTGCAAACAATATTCCTAGTGGAACAGGCAACAGATTTCAATCCCTTTAAAGTTCCTGTTTGTGGTGTTCCACGTCCTCTGAGTAGCCGGAGATATCCTGCTCTTTCCTTGCTCGGGATCCTGTATACATTTGCATATTGGGATTTCTTCGAGCTTTAGAGGTTGCTATGTTCATTTCCTTTCTGTCTTCAACCTGATTTTTTTTTTACTCAACTCCCGGGGATCTGGCTAAGGCTGCCTGTGATTGGCATCCTTCGTTGGCAGTCACGGTGGTCCTCGAACTGAGAGTGTGGCGGCGGGGCGGTTCTCCGAGCTCCGGGATGTGCCTGTATTCCTGATGGGAGCACGGTGGGGGTGGCGGGAGTGAATGGAGGAGAGCCAGAGAAGAAGGGAAGGGCAGAGGTAACTCAGCAAGTATTTGAGGACTCTAAGAATCAGGTACCCTTAGGAAGCATCCTAGGACATCTGCCTTAGTGTAATCCTTCTCTGTGGGAGGGGAAGGAGGAGAAAGGAGCCACTCGCTCCCCCACTTTTCTTCCCTCCCCCTCTCTTGTCTCTCCAGGCACGAGATTTAAGGGAAACAAGCGATGAGGTAGCATCTCTGGGCAGGCAACCCTTTTTCTAGTGCCATCTGCGGCAAGTCCCACTTTTTTCTAGGTTTTGGTAAGGAAAACCTCTTCCTTAAAATTGCCAGTGTGTTAACCAGCACTAGCAGCCCCGAACACAACCGTGAAGCACCCAGAGGGTCTAATCTCTGTTCGCAAATAGATTGGGGTTCCGTGGGTGCAAGAGGTGTTTGAATTATATTAAAGTTAGTCAATACAATTCAGTAAATGTCATTGAGCACATGGCAGGCGGGAGGCCCTGGGCTAGGAATTTGTTCATTTGTTTAACGGTATATATTAAATATTTACTATGTTCTAGGCATTCTGGAACTTAGAGACGACTTAAAAAGGGTTACTGACCTAGAGAAATTCACAGGCTCCCTGTCAGGAAGAAGGACGCAAATATAAGGAAATTCATTATGTCTCTAGATAGTTTATATAGTGATGAGAGGCTTGCTAATTCATAAAAGAGAGATAGAGAAGAAGAAGAGAGGTAGATAATGGCATCCAGACAAGGAGAAAGCTTTTTGTCAGAGCAGGGACGGAAAAGTATTACAGAAAAAGGGAACAGCCTGTGCCAAGTCTTGGACACTTGAAAGGCTATGGTCTACTTGGATAGCTGAAACTAGAAATAACTCATCGTAATATAAAAGAGGAGAGGAAGGGATAGTGGTGATGAAGGTGCAAAGAGAAGCTGAAGCCAGACCATAAGGAAAGTTACTTCCTTTACTATGCCAATTTAGGCTTCTAGAAATCACTGAGAGTTTTAAGTAGGGATAGTGAGGGTCAGATGTCAGTTTCAGACACAATGTTCTGGTAAAATAATCATGATCGGAATAATTAGAATTTATCACTTGCTGACTATTTGCTGGTCATCATGCACATTATATAGATAATCTTATTTAAGCCTTCATAATAATCCAAATGTGGTAGATATTACTATTATTCTCAAATTATAGATAATGATACTGAGAACAAATCAGGGCAGTGTAACTGGTTCAATATCAAACAGCTAATAAGTCATGGAACAGGCATTTCAACTCAGAATCCATGGACCTGACTACTCTATGCTATGAAGTGTGGACCCCAAAGGGAGAAACCAGAGACAGGAAAAACAATGAGAAGGGAGAAGGGTTATTACAATGCCCCAGGAAACAGGAACTAAAATCAGACAGTGTTTAGCATGGAGAGGAGGTGATAGAACAGTGCAAGTTCTCAGAAGAATAATGGAGACATCACATAGCTGGAAAGGTCAGCATGTGAGGACTTTTGGAAGGTAACCAAAGAATTGTACAAACATTTACACATGTGTAGATCTTGACATTCTACATATATTAACTTTATTTTCTCATTTGAGCCTCATAACAACCTTAAACACTGAGGTCATTTCTTCTGGGGATGATGATAACGCTTAATCAGGTTTCTTAGTTTTCTGAAAAGTGTGTCAAGTCTACCTCTTTTTAATTCATATGGATCTGCTTTTAATGATTAAACGAAAAGATTTATTTATTCTTCAAGTCCTTGCTGAAGCATAGAACCTCTCTATGTGGCACAACTCTGCATTGTAAAGAACAAAACTTGCAGAGGTTTACTTCCTTCATTTGTTCATTTATTTCTCAAATATTTATTGAACATTTGGTAGGTGACAGCCACTATGCTAAGACCTGGTGGTCCAACAATGAAAAAGACAGCATACGGAACCCCTTTCCATATGAAATTTGTCAATTGAACCATCTTTTGGAGGTTGCAAATTATAGCTTTGCTAGCCAAATTCAATTCATTAAAGAAATATTTAGTTAGGAGGTCACTGTTTGTTCAACTTACATAGCTTTCATTGGGATATATGTTTTCCAGTTAGTCATAAACGCCTACAAATTCTTTTTGAATAACAACCAGGATTGTGTTTGTGTCTATAAAAGAGCCAAGATTTTAATCCTAGAAGTGAGGAAAACTGTGAGTGATTTCAAATTCTTGAATCCTAATGTTTAGTACTCTGCAATTTGGATAAATTTCACTAAATTTGGCTTTTAAATTATGCCTCCATTTATATGGAAGAACACTACGAAGAGTCTAATTAGATATTTATAATGTCATCTAATACTGGGATGATATTGGGGATGGAGCCCACTGTATTACTCACTGTCTTACGTATGAGGACCTGTGGGAGAAATTTTTTCCCAGACCCTAGTCTGGGAAAGGCGGTTGGAATCCTCAAATTCATTAATTTCCTTATTTGCTTTGGCCATTGGGAATCTCAGAGTTACAGGTGTAGTTCAGCTTTAATCATTATGTAAGGTCTTCATGACCTGCATTTTCTCGTTACATTTCTCCCTGATGCCTTCGAATACTAAATTTAATTTTCCTTTGTCACACTTTACTAACTTAAAAACACATAGGTTGCACTGAATAAATATAGTGTGTGAGCTGTCTTGAATAATTTTTAGAACTAACTGGGAAATAAATTCAAAATAATAAAAAAAGTAAATAATTGAAACATGCTAAAGTCATCAAACCTAGATACACTGTGAGTACCCCCCGCCCCATGGCTTAAAAACATCAACAGTTCTTCTGTGAAGTTGCTTGTTTCTTTTCCAAACTAATCCTCTTACTTAAGACCTTCCCCTTCAAGATTCAACTCAATTTTCATTTTTTTTTTTAAATTAAAGCTGCTCTTGAAAACCAATGTATACTTAATCATCCCTACTCTTATTATCTTCTACTGGTAACTCCTGGGGGATTCAAAAATGATCATCCATTCAGCAAATTTAACTGTGAATCTGTGAACAGACTAATATGAAGTATTTACCAAAAAGGAAAAATTCCCCACAAGTAAATAAGGAAGAAAAAAGACAAAGAGACACTCGAAATGAAGAATCACAAATTTAAACAATGATATACCATTTCAGACCTATTAGATAGGCAGAACTTAAGAATGCCAAATATTGGTTAGAAAGCCTGATATACTTTCAGTAGGCATACGAACTGATCTGAATACTTTGTAAAGCAATTTGGGCATATCTGGGAAAGCTGAAGATGCATATGCCCTTTTGCCCAGAATCTCCACCGCTAGGAATATGCCTTTGAGGACACTCACACAGTCTAAAAATGTTCATCGCCGTGTTGCTTTTAATGGTGTAAAATTGACAACAACCTAAATGCTAATGTATTGGGAATATATAGGTGCTGACATGGTTACACAATCGAATCCAACAGTAAAAATATATAAGTATTTACATGCTTTACATAGATAAATCACAAAATACTAAGCAAAAACAAAACAAAATAAAAAGAGCTAGGTGCAAAATTATACGAGTGTGGTAACATTCAGTAAAGTTAAAAACAGTTAAGTACAGGGTGCTTGGGTGGCTCAGTCAGTTGAGTGTCCAACTCTTGGTTTTAGCTCAGGTCATGATCTCAGGGTCCTGGGATCAAGACTCCCAAGAGGCTCCAACAGAATCTGTTGAGGATTCTTTCTCTCTTTCTCCCTCTGCCCCTCCCCCTGCTTTTTCTTTCTCTCTCTCTCAAATAAATAAGTAAATCTTAAAAAAACACATTTAAGCACAAAACTCAGAATATATGTTATTATATAGAGAGATAAATAGATTTTAGATAGATAGCTATCTATTATAAAAATAAGCAAAGATAAGAAGGATACTAACTTTTAAGATATAAAACATACTTCAACTGAATCTATAATACTTTATCCAAGAAAAAAATCTCAAGCAAATTAATCAAAACATGATATGTGGGTGTTCATTATTCTACTCTTTATGTATTTCCAGTATTTGAAATATTTTGCAAAAACTAATTAAAACTAATAAGTGACAAACTGGGAATATATATTTGAAATTTAGATTTTTAAAATGTTGATACATATCAATAAGACAAATAAATAAACTTAAGAAATAAACAAGAAAATGACTATATTAGGCATTTCATGAAAGAAAGTGACTGATAAATTTATTAAAATTTTTCAATCTTCAAAGTAACAAAACGAATAAAATATGATGTACCATTTTTACTTAGTTGGCTATTTTAAAAAGGTTTAACATCAAATATCATGAGTGCTATAAATAAATATAACTTTATATACTTTTGGGGCAGTATAAGTTACCACAATCTACCTTAAAGAAAATTTATAGTACTAATAGCCATACAATATGTTATTTTCTGAATCTATCTGTAGATTGGCATTCTTTTTAATTGATCAGGTTTTCTGATCTGATTTAAATTCATATATATATTCTATTATATATATGTAATGATGACTTAAGATTTAATATAGTTATACATTGTGACATGCTTACTACAACCAAATTAAGTAACACATCCACTATCTCACAGAGTTCCCATTTTTTGTGTGTGATGAGAATACTTAAGATCTACTCTTTCAGCAAATCTCAAGTATACAGTAATATGATTAACTATAATCACTATGCTGTGCATTAAATTCCCCAGAATTTACTCATCTCATAACTGGTCAAA